CAGCCAAAAAATTGGCCAGCTCGTTATGCTTACACAATCAAACCACGGGGAGGTTTTTTGTTATCACTCGAAAAATTTAGAGTCGTCAACTTTTTCAAGGCCATAGATAGGCCTAAATAAAATGTTTTTAATTGTGTACCAGTTTAACGTTGAATATTATTTATGATTTTAACACAATCTACATGTTTTGACTGGCACTAGCCAGTCATCATCACGAGTGCTACAGTATCTACTATTTTGCCCTATGTAACATAATAAATTTTTTAAATAAATAATGTCAAAGTGGTTGATAATGTAGCATTGGATTATCCTGATGATGAGTGGCTAGTACTAATCAAAATAAGTAGACTGTGTGTTTTTTGAATTTGAAAAGATGATCCAAAACTCAAGTGTTTTCGATTAGTAGACTATTCTTCTTCAGGAAAATGAACAGTAATGTTTAGCAAGTGCAATAAACCAGATGTTCCAGATGAGTTGATTTAGGAGCTTATCCAATCATAATTGGAGACACTGGTGTCAGGTTTAGTTTGTACAAAAGAAAATGTGTACATTATATAAAAGATGTAAGAGTGATAATAGTTGAAAAGATGTTAAAACAGTTTTATAGATAGAAAAATAAAATAAAAGGAGTTAACGAGGCAATATATATATATACATACATATATATATATATATATTGAGACATGAACAAAAATATGGATAATACTTATAGCTCAAAATAAATTTAATTACAAATTTAGTTTTGGAAATTTTTTTTTACAGACATACGAAGGTCAACAATCCCGGGATCAAGATTATTCTATTTGGTGTTACAGTATTTAAAAGTGCTATTCATTAAGCTTCTTTAATATCTCTGTTTCTATTTTATATAAAATCTGTCTCTATACTTGTCAGTTTAATGTTTTCAAGAGACTCCTCAGGTATGTTAAAGTGTTTTGTGACTGGAAGTTCTCTGTTGATTTTTACTGAAGTTTTGTGGTTATTAAATTGTTTCTGTATAGTTGTTCTGGTTTGACCTACATACTGGAAGTTGCATTTTTGGCACTGGATTATGTAAATAGTATTTTTTGTAGAGCAGGTTATGGGTTTAGTGATTTTAAGCTGTTTTTGGTTGCCTTTATCACAAAATTTGTTAGTCTTCTGCATGAACTTACAGGTTTGGCAACACCTGCTATTGCAGGGGTGACTTCCACCTGGTGATGACTTAAAGTTAACTTTAGTGTCAAAAACAGGAACTTTAATAAAAATGGATTTTAGCAATCATTAAGTTGAAGAAAGTAAAAGTGTTTTTTTCAGTATCCAGGATATTTCTTTTTTTAGTTTTGGGTGATAGATAATAACCAGTATAACACAAGAGGAATTCGTTTTAGGTAATTGTATCAAGATAGATTCGTGTAAAATATTGTTAGCTTTGTCAATTTGTTGAATCACAGTGTTCTGCTTATAACTTCCTTCAGTCATAGTCTGTTTCACAGAATCAATGTGACGGTCATAGTTCTTACTGTCAAAACAAACCTTCATTAATCTAAGTGCTTGATTGAATGTAATGTTGTATTTGGTGTGAGGAAGATAACAGCTTTAAAAATGTTAAGTATTGTGGTCTATCAGTTGGCTTTAGGTACAATCAGTATGTATAACACCATCTCTTAATGCTAGATTTACATCTAAGAAACTTATTTTGGTAGTGAATTTAATAGAATTGTGAGAGGAGGTTGCATGGCTACAGAAGGATAGTAATGAATCTTTATCTCCTACCCAAATGAAAAATAATGTCATCAATGTAGCATCTCCAAAAATTTGGTTGGTTTGTACAACTTACCAACAGTCTCATCTCTAAGATTCGAATAAAATGTTGGCATAATTTGGTGCCATCTTGGTCCCCATAGCTGTGCCTTTTGTTTGAATATAGAACTCATTATTAAATTCAGAACAGTTAAGTGTAAGAAGTAGTTTAGCTAAGTGTATAACAGTTTAAGTGTTGAGTTTGTCTAGTTTCATTGGAGAAAATTCTGGAGCTTCAGGCCTTCATCATGGGGAATGTTTGTGTACAGAGAAGAAACATACATAGTACAGAGAATGGTGTTTGGAGGAAGTTTTCCATTGCTGTTAATGTTAGAGATCATGTTCAGAAAATATGTCATGTCTTTAATGTATGATGCCAAAAGTGGAGGGATATCTTTCATGTAGTGATCAATGTAAGCAGATAAGTTTTCAGTAGGCATACTACAAATGGAAATAATAGGACGATTAGGATTGTTACGTTTGCATATTTTTCGTAACATGTAAAAGTGACCTGGAACTTGGTGTTTAGGTGAAAGGAATTGTAAAGTTTCATGACTGAAGTTTTGGCTTTTCTGTAAGCTACATAGCATGTCATCAATAATTTCAAGAAATTGCAGAGTGGGGTTCAAACCGACCTTTTTACAATGACAACTTTTTATAGAATGACAGCTTAAAGACAAAACCACTATAAAAGGGTAGATTTAGAGCTCATAAAAGATAATTACACCTGGATTTACGTTTGAATATTTTAAATTAATAATCTCCTAAGGTAACATAAAAATCTCTTAGGAGGTCTATCAATAAACTATCTTGAGCTTTAACTTTGTGTTTACATCCATGACTGTGAGGCTAACAAGTATAAAGGGAAAAAAGAGTCTATGAGAAACTTTACAATAGAATGGCATGGTAGATTTACAGTATATTTACTTTGGGCTCATCATCAAAAAAAAGATTTATACTGAGAAAAGGAAAGCTACATGTATATAACTTGGGATGATACTATTTTGTGTGTAAGAAACTTTAGAAACTTACTCTCTAAATCGACGGCTGTGTATTTTTTTCTTTGCCATATGATGAAGTTCTTCTTCTAAAGATACAGTTAAAGACGAGACCACTGGGCTTTCTAGTTGACACATGTTAACATCTTGCAGAGAGCTGACTGGAAAAATATGCATATACAAGCTACACCTTCCATTTAATATTTAATATGTATATAAGAAATTAATTATTAATAAGTGCTAATTACTAGCTTGTTCAAATTATAAAAACAATTTGGATAATCCCTTAAATAAATTTTTAGCAACTGATTACAAAATACTAGCACACACACACACATATCTCAACAATTAATAACAATAAGTTGAAATATTCTTTGGTAAACAAACTATTACAGTTACAAAAACTATTTCCAAGATTAAAAAACAACACCTCTTTTATCCAACAACTTTTTCATGTAATAGTAAACACTACCACATTATTCACCAAGGCTTTCTCTGTATACACTAAATCATTTCTCTTGATAAAATAACAAACAAAAGATAGTAACTACACTGTACACTTTTTTTGTGAATTACATTCCAATTATGTTTTCCTCAATTTATGTGCAAGAAATAATTGCTGGAATTATAATTACATCTTTCATTTTACAAGTGTATATCATCTGCATTACAATTACATATAAAATTACACATTCCTTAACTCAATAATCCCAAAAAATAACTCTTATTTCATGGTAATTTACCTCATAATTTTTGAGTTTATATTTTTCTTCCTTGTAAATATAGTGTGTATATAAATATATGCTTCTGTGTGTGTGTTGGAAATATTAACTCATGGGACTGGATGCTATCTTACCTTGATGACTGCTAGCTGTTTGTTCATCGTGATCCTGATCTTGGCTGTTTAGATTTTTTTGTGGTGCCTCAAATTTATTCCTTAATTTTTCCTCAGCATTCACAGAAACTTCAACTTCAGCTGAATTTTGCTGAGAACTAGTTTCCTTTAAATCAACTTGCTCGAACCATTTAGACAGATCAGAATCCTCTTTTTTTCTTTCTGATATATCAAGATTAATATTCTCTTCAGCATTATTTTCTTTTCTGTTTTCCATATTTTTAAATATTACATGAAGATCAACATTCAGTGACTTAATTTCTTTGTCTTGAGTGACTCTTTTTGATAATGTCTTTATCTCTTCTAAGATATTTTCTTTTGCACTGTGTGAAAGTGACGAGTGACCATACTCTTGAAGTAACCGTCTTAACTTTCTTTCTTCTCTATCTTTAATGATGATCTGGAATTCAATTATGTAAACAGCAAATAAGTTATCATTCATAATAACATCAAATAATAACCAATAACCAATACAGCAATAAGTTGTAAAGTAAGTACATAGATTTCCATTTTCATACACTGAAATATGTGTATGTGCATGTGTGTTTATATTTAAAATAACTGGAAACAAAAGTTTGGGGACAGATTGAATGGATATGAAGAAAACTTTATTATAAATGTATATTTCCACAGTATTATATTGATGATGACATAATACTATCAAAATGTTGTACATACATAATAAACTTTTCCTAATACCCAAAAGTGGTCTCCTAAACTTTTTTTTTTTGAAATGTGGGTTCCTTGTCATCAAATTTAAGTGGAAACATGTCTGATTACTTTAGGTGTTTACAAGTTAGTTTTAGATAGTAAAACACAGAAAAATACTTTCATAATATTCTGTATTTTTCCTATTATACTTCCCTTTCATGAACAAAACATGTAGATAATGTATTATTTTCAAAAGTATTCCCTACTTTTAAGAAAATCACATATTCACAGTTTTGTCTCTGAAATGTTAGGAAAATAATTTATTTACAACATTCTCTCATTTCTTTATAGTCTAAAATAATGAAGTATACTGTTCAGAAAAAGAAAACCAGAAGATTTTTTTGCTGTTAATTCTGTTTCTTGTTAAGTGCAAAGCTACAAAATGGGCTGCGTCCTCATTGGGAACCAATCCCTGAATGTTAATATTTTCCTACAATGAAATATATCTCTAATAGATACTTACCTCTTCTTACATAATAGCTTTTCTCGTTCAGTGCTGCCCTCTATATATTCAAATTATTTTGCTTGCCACTAGCCTCGAAAATCCCACCTACCCCATATGTAATGTGGTTCTACTGCATCTTTGCATGCAAATAAGCATGCAGCAACCCTCTACCAATAGGAGCATGACACACTCTCCTGATGCAGTTACTCCCTCTACACAGATCAACCTACTCCAAACTTTCAGATTAGGCACAAAAGAAGCACCAGAAGTGGGGAGGATAGGTGGGAAATGTGAAAAGAGGTAAGTACCCATTGGAAATATAATTTCAGTGGAGGAAAATACTAACTCCAATAAGATATCTTAACCCATTCACATTATAGCTAGAATCCCATATTGACTTGATAGAGGGACCAGTGCAAAAACTACTTAGCTGAATATCCTTCAGAACGTGCCCAAAGAAAGCCCATAGAGTATGACTTGTTTTGTGAGAGGAACACACCTGTGAGAAACTGCACCATGTCTGTACCAGATATACTCTTTGCCCAATATGGTAGTAAATGTTGCTTAATTGGACAGAAATTTTAGGGGTACACCCATGAAAGTATTCAAGGTGCTACTACAGTATGTATTTATAATTTAAATTTAAAGTATTTAGGAGACACATTAGCACTTACATATGAATACATATATATCTGCATGGCATCTCCAAAACTAGGTATTGAGATATGTCAAAAATATATAACACAAAATATAACTATAGAAGTTAATTAAACTTTCTCTGTTACATGACAGCACTATATCTAATGATAGAAAATATCACTCATACATTCTGTTGAACCTAACTGAATAGCTATTTATAGGAATTTTTTGGTCTGATTATCTGTATGTAAATCCTATGTACCTTTTTCAGGGCTGACAATCTTTTAGGTTTTGGTTTTTCTCGTTCTTTACCTCTTTTCTTCACAGATCCAAGAAGCTCTGAGGTGTCATTTCCCTTTTTCTTATTCTGTAAAGTGTAAAGTCATTGTAATTTTTTTTTATGATTATTTAGCTGTACTGTAGTCTGTTCCATGTAAAAAAAAACTTATTTATTGGGAAAAAGTAGTACAAAATAATAATCAGGCACAACTTGCAAATTACACTTAAATGTAAAAAGTACTATTTTATATTGTACATTTATAAATTACAGCATCAAAAAAGTAGTATTCTCAGACTGGATTAGGAAAAGGAGCAAATGGGAGTAATTCTCACAGGCTATTGGATTGAAGGGGTTCCTTGATTTAGAGAAAAATAAAAAGATAATCAAAAAATGGATGTCTCATTGGAAATCGCATATTTGAAAATGTGCTATGACAATAACAGAAATTCTAGTTATTTCATACAGATCTATTAAATCTGTTCTTTTGGCTTTCTGCCCAACCATTTAATGAAAAATTCACTGCAATTACTTTATATTTATTAGAAAAATTCATTGTTACTACTTTGCATTTATTATAAATAACAGAATTAGTATTTTTGCATAATATCTAGTATCAACTCATCTTTTGCATTTGTGTAATGCTCAAACTGTAGCTAATAAGTAGTAATTTATGAAGTTCAGTTCTGAGGGGCTCCAAAGTATTTTATACTATAAATTTATAAATTAAATGGATAAAAAGTGAAAAGTATATGTATATTTATAAACTGCATGAAACGTACTGTACTGATGGTAAAACATTTTTACACTGTATACTCAAAACACATATCTAAGTCATGCTACCAACCCTATGTGCACAGGTGGGGGTCAGACTGCTCAGGCCATGACTTTTTACATGGTTTCTTTCAACATGGTATTATGCTTTTCATGTCTGAGTTATCAACCATTCATTTTTAACCTATATTGCAGATTTAGCAACAGTTCCTGGCAGAGAAGAGTAAATACCAGATACAATATACAGCAATAGTGAACAAAAACTGTAGATATGCATTTTGGAGGTTCTAGAGATTATGCAAATGTAAACTGTACAATAGACGAAAGTATTTTTATTCTTCTGTGACTATCACCTTGCCAGTTGACTTGTTAGACTTATGTTAGATTTATGTTGTCAACTCATATACAAATGTTGAGCACAAATACTTTTTTAACATATCTGATCTTTTGTGTACAACAGATTTGTATATTTGATTAAAAGCTTGAAACATTTCATGGAGTTATATATAAATAGTAAATTCAGAATCATAATCAACAATTCTCCAATATAAGTCAGTCCATTGTGCATATTTAGTTAATAAAAACAGATGAGAATAATCTAATTTAATAAATCTGCCATTTTACATAGATATAGAAAGTGTCATGTCACAGTAATAGAGAGTTTGGTTTGAATTTCACGCAAAACTACACAAGGGCTATTTGTGCTCAGCGAACCACAGGAAGCATTACATACCTCTGTCCCACTGGGGGGGGGGGGGGGCTATTATAATGTTTATTCTGCATTGTTACCTTAGTATATGGCTTTATTATTAATTTATGCCTCCTGGGCTGCCTGAGCCTTCTAAAATATTATTGTTCTAAGGGCCAAGAATATTATTAACAGAAAAGGTACCCAACAGATGAAACCATGCATTCTAATCATTATAATTAATATAGTTTGAACATTATATTTAATTAGCTATGCTCATTACTAGGTATATAATTTTAGTTCTACATTGGTATTGCTTTGATCAGAAGTTAATATCAATATGATATTACAGGTTTATTAGAGACTTATGCATAAATATTGTTAATGCGTAAGTACTTGTTTTTCTTTATAAACTGACTATTACTGATGATGATAATATCTGAGCTTACAAGCTATGTTAATGACAAACACTTTCTTTGTGGCATATAGTTTATTCAAGTTTAGTTGATTCAGCACATTTTCAAATTGTGGTATAATTGTAAAACAGTACTAAAATACATAAAATGCATGGTTATTTAATATATATAAATAAGTTGGTGCATTATTCTTAAAGTCAGAGATAACTGGGCTTTCAGGAAGTCAATTTATGATTAACAGGAGGGTAAACAATACATACTGTATGCCTATAATTAATGGTAATACTCAAATATATATCATTATAAAAGATGTGAATTCACCTTGTATTCTTTCATGATCTTTATATGTACATCTTTGAAAAAATTACTAGGAAACATAAAACCAATATATCTATAAAAAAATAAAAATTCTCATACCATCATCATTTTGGTCTTGAGTCTTTCAGTTTTGATTTGTCTTTGCGATTTATGAATTTTCTGAAACAGAAACAAACAAATTTTGATCAACAACAATAAATCACAAACATAAAAATATATGCAACCAACTATCAATAATTTCCTAATTGTAGATGTGAGCTCAGGTTTTACAAAAACAAAATCTATTTCAGTGACTGTATACACTTTGCTGACAGAATTTGTTTTCGTGACTACCGAGTTAAATATAAAACTTATTAAAATTTAATCTGTGTGTTTAAAGCTTAAAGTTAACTACACGGATTGTGCATTTTTAAGTTTGGAAGTCAGTATCATCCTAGAGCACATAACTTTTATCAAAAATATCCTCAAGTTCTGAAAAGAGAGGCTAAATTGTCCACTGTTGAGTACCACATGGTTTTAAGAGAACACAAAAGATTTTCAAAGATAATTAATTACTGAAAATGTTCAAATAGTAATCAAATGTTGTATCTGTGTGAAAGAATAACCGAAGATAAGTGGCCTATTATTCATCTTTACAAAAAAAGGGATTACTTGGATATCATGAATTGCCCCACTCTGATTTCTACTTTACTTACAAAGCAGAAACCACTAAGGCATAACCAAAAGATGAATAGCTTTATCAAAAATCACCAGAAGATATTTTGCAGAGCTTCAAGAATATTCCAGTGAGTCATCCTATGTGTTTTTTGTGGTATATTCAAAATCAAAATACAACTTAAAACATGTTATTTTATCTTACTTGAAGGAATATTGGTTGTCTTTCAAAATTTGTAGAGTACACTAGAAGGATTTACATATTTTGACAATAATGTTAGAAAAACAAAAGACCTTTACACTTCAGAGAATTGTAAAAGAACTTTTATTTTAACCAATGTTTTTACTTTGCAACTTCTTCGTGGCTAGTACATAAAACTGTTTTATTTGTTGCTCACTGCATTTTTATTCCCTAAAAGAGAGTTATTACAAGTCTGATATGAAGCAGAATGTAGATGAACTATAACAGTACATACTTGGAGATGCAAGAGTTTTTTTTTTTTAATGGTCTTGTATTTATTATTCACTGGATCTCTATGGAAGCTAAGCTACTGAACTATATATGTATGAATTACAAATTCTGATTAAGAAGTTAGCATACAGGATCACATACAAAAGTTGTAATGGTTTTCAAACAAGACCCAAAACTTGAGCACTTTCAAATAGTTCACTATTCTTCTTTATTCTCCTCAAGAAGAATAGTGAACTATTCGAAAGTGCTTGAGTTTTGGGTCTTGTATGAATTACATATAGCAAACAGCTAGATAACCACCATTCTACATTATGATCATTTAAAATTATGCTAGCAGGAAAATTGAATAAATCCATGAAACCACACAGACAAAAAATGTATACCACCACAAAACAAACTTGATAACTTTCTGAGCATATGTAATGTACATGTAGAACACAGTTTTGTTGCAAAAGTATGAGAAATTATAGGTGTACAAACCAGATCTGACTAATGGTGATAGTGTGAATAATAGCTTCAGTAGCAATGATATTCCCATTACTTTTCATGAGAATGTAAAACTAATGGTAATTGTCAAAAACATTGTTTTAATATATTTATTTACAGTCATTTTTAATTTTCTTCCGTTTACAATGAACTTAACAAAGTTTTCTATAAATGCTGAAAATAGGTAGTCCTTAATTTTGAACTGACAAACAGAAAGGAAGTCAGCTAGTCATCAGCAACCAGTGCCACCTCTTGAGTTTGTTTAATCAAATGGTGGGATTTGACCATCACTCTTATATAGTATGCCAACAGTCCCAAACTGCAAAGCATATTTTTTGTGGCAACAGGATGCAAACCATGAACCCTTACATTCATAGTCAATGCTTGCATACCTTAGGTCATGCTCATCCATTTAGCCCCATTTATTCTCAATTTACAAAACGATTAGACACTTGTCAATAAGAAGTGAAATATTTAAAGTCTCTGGTTACAAATACAATAGATATTTTGAAAATTGATTTATCGGAATAAATAAAAAGCTTTTTACCTCTTTAATAGTTAAAATATCAGTAAAGGAAATGTGAATTGGCTCCTGAGTTTTTTTTGTATTTGGAGTTACATCAACAACATGTTCTTTTGAAATTAATCCTGCTACTTTCTTTCTTTTTTTCTGACTTAATATTCCCTTTTTTCTCTTTGCTGCTAAGTTACTTGTATTTTCTAAGAAAAGATATATATATAAAGTTAGTGACAGTTTCTTAAATAATACAGATAAATATCCAAAACAAGCAATATTGTTTTACACTATTCTGATAAGAAAAAAAGTAATAAAAGAAGAATCTGGAGTATACAAGTATCAAAGAACAAATTAAAATTACAAGCACAATTTATTATGTACATCTGTCAACCTTTTTTTGTTTGTAAAGTATGTTGTATATGCGCAACTTACAAAATATACTTCTGTAGCAAGCACACCTCTATTTTGTTATGTACCAAATAATATTCTCCTTCTATCACTAGAACATGTATGCACAATACCAAAAGAAGTATAAATTACTTGTTAGTCAGTGATTTTCATTAGTCTTAATTTTCATTAATTGGTATTACTTACACAGTCCATAAGGCAAAATTACCTCACTAACCTTGCAATCAGCAACAAATAGATTGACAGTCTTAAATCTTCTATTCTTTAAATGGGTACTGATTATTACATTCATAACAATATTAAAGCTTGAGGTAAGAAAATATTAGAATGTAACCAAAGCATCAGACAAAGTTTAAATAAATTTAAGAAGCTTCCGAAGTTAGTCATTAAATGTGTAAACTGCTGGTAGAGCAACCTTTCTCACGAATCATTGTGATATGCTTATATAGACAGAAAAAAATTACAAAAGTGTATATTCATTGATTTATAATTACTTACAAAAGAATTCTAAAAAATGAGGATGAGAAATCTATTAAATGTTCCTGGGATTATATACTGAATACTTTGGAAGACACAACTACAACTTAAATAAAAATAACCCTTTTCCTCAACTCATTTCTATATAAAGATAAACCATTTACAGCCTTACATTATCCAGTAGTATATAGATATATATATATATATATATATCCAAAATGTTGTAACTGTAAAGTCACTTATCTTTTCAAGACTACCTCCCTTATTTGTGCATTCTCATGCATATTACAAGTTACAGTTAATACAAATTCAAAATTGCCAGTCTTGTAGCATCATTATTAACAACACACTTTCAACAGTGTCAGTTATTTTTAATTTCTTCATTAATTATAAAAGCACTTACATTTTTTTTAAGTAACAAGATAAAATGAATGAGACTATAAAGGTACACAACTAATACTTCAAATGAAAATTTTAGCAGAACAATTAAGACACTTTCTAACCAAAACTTTGTTAAAAAAGGCAGTTATAAGTCAGTAATATACAGTAAGTTCATCTTATATCTTTAGTAAAGGTTCATAAATATTTTGTAATATTCAAAAGATTGAGAAAATGGGTATAATTAGTTGTGCAATAATAAAGTTAGAAATTATAATTCTTTATAAAAATTTGAATGACATACTTTGCACTGAAATACTTTTTAATGAGGATGAGAAAACAGTTCTTTCATCTAAGGCTTCATAACTGATACAAATGAGTTATATCTTATATATGCCCCACAGTGGCACAGCGGTATGTCTGCGGACTTACAATGCTAGAATCCGGGTTTCGATACCCGTGGTGGGTAGAGCACAGATAGCCCATTGTGTAGCTTTGTGCTTAATTATAAACAAACCAACAAACCTTACATATAAATAACTGAACTACACTAGAAGATCAATCACAATAAATACATTATCATTATCTTCTGCTCAAAGCATGCTATCTACAGATTGGAACTAACAATTAACTTACTAATAAATATAGCTAGATGAAAATACCATTCTTACTTCTAATGATTTGAATACATTGATTCATCAGTTTAGTCCTCTTGCTATTACTGATGTTGTGTGCCATAATTCCAGTAACATCTCACAAGGTTTGCCCAGTTTACAGTTTAATTAGTTGTAAATTTACAAACTAAGTTAACAATATAAAAAGTCCTCATAAGAAACAAAAATACGATAAAAAATTAACAATAAAAATAAACATATTAACTAAACACTTTAACCAACAGTTAGTAAAACTAATATTAAAGAATAGAATACAGTTTTACAAATCACATAAAAACTAGTTTACTTTATGCACCCTCAACAAATCCCCAACTGTTAAAAGCATGTCACAAGTATATGTGAAACCTTGTACAATCCTCTCTAATAACATCTTGGGACAAATTAAAGCACAATGAATGGCCCAACAGTGTAGTTTCAGAGTATCTTGTTTCACATCTGAAATAAATTACAATGCACATGCCATTCTACTGTTTATCTATAGAATTAGAAAGCAGGTCAGTACAGTAGTACAATAAAACAACTGGTGTTTATGAATATAAAAAAAATAATTATAATCAATAATAAATTAAATGAATAATAAAACTTTACAATAAACAGTAATAGTATTAAAAAAAATTATATATTAAAGATACTATGAGCTGTGTTTAACATAACTAATCCAATTTTATCTATCCCATTCACATACAAATGGATAATTTACAGAGTGCCAAGCTGGAAGTAATAAATAAAGTTAAACTATAAGAAATAGCCAAAATGTATAATATTACAATAAAAAAAAGACTCAAATGAAGGAATAATAACAATGGTAATTATGACAACTGGGCATTATCAGAAACTAATGTATCTAAACTAATGAAGTAGTGTAATATAATATACAGAACTGTTATACAGTTTGCATTGACTATAGCAAAAGCTAAAACTAACAGAAGGTAAAACTAATAGTAGCGGTAGCCATACTAAAGTTGTTTGTTATTCCATTAACTATTAGTTAAGAAACTAACAAAAATAAAATATAGTTTTGAAAAAGTTGTGATATTGTACTAGTTATGTAAATGAAATAACTATAAATTTTACCATATCAGAAACAGACTTTTAAAAGATATGAGACTTTTGTGATGACCTACATGTATTTATGGTTAAAAAAACAAAAACAACAAGAACAAAGCCACAATCATATGTACAAATGGGTGATGAAAAACTTAGAAGCAATTTAAATTACTGTAGGTTATTTTTAAAGTGCATGGAAAGTTTTACCTGCAAGTAATTTCAAATTATTCAACAAGTCATTTAACATAAAGATATGATAGCTTATAACCCAAGTGTTCTATATATTATATATTAAAGGTAATCAAAACTCTTAGGTTCTAGAGATCTATACCTACTATAAATAACTGTAGATGAAACAGATTTCATTTAATGTCCTTGGTTAAAATTTGAATGTTTGAACGCAAATTTCATCTTCTGTAGTTAATTTTTTATATTACTCAATAACATAAATACACAAAATTGTAAAAGAAATACCATCCTCTTCAGCAGTATCATTGACCAATTCTGGTTCAGGTCTTTTATCTGTGCTTGCCTTTTTGTGAATTCCATACCATGTATTTTCCTACAAATAAATACAAATTAATTAAAAATAATTTAAGGAGAAGTACTGAGATGTTAAAGAAAATCTACAACTCTATTAAAGATCCAAAACTAATTATAAGTATGATACAGTAAACCTGATAAAAACACATATGGAGACAAGCTGAAAATACAAAAAAAAATAGCTTAAAATTAGTTTCTTGACCATCCATAGAGCTTCTTCATGATTCAAATATTAGAAAATTATTTTAGCAAATGTCAATAGCATTTGGTTCACATTCAGCATGTCTCAGTGACTAAAGAAAAAATCAAATTACTGTAAAATAAAACAGACAATTAGTTTGAGGTTTAAGTTATTAAAAACTAACATTTAGATAATAAATCTATCTTATAAAGTTGAGCTCAAATATTCTCTAAGTACAAACATAGAAAAATATCTTTTCACACGAAAGTAAGAACTTTTACAAAACCAAAGAATACTACAAATTTTTCTACCTATATTAAACCTAAAGAGCTAATTTTACAGCTGTGCAAACTTAAACCACTTTACTTGTTTTAAACAAGCAACTTCACCAAGTTTTTAGCTAAATGCCTTCAAAAAGACTTTTCCCCCACTTTAAAATTTGATAATCATTCTCATGAAACCTAGATCCTCACATAGAGTCTGAATATTAAAACTAAAACAGCTTGATGAAAGAAATTTATAATCAGGAACAAAAAATATACTGAAATTACATTAAACTTCCTCATACAAAGCCCGAGTACTGAAGATGTACAATAACAACAAAATATATAATAAAATTATATTTAAAAATTCCTAAGAGGATAACAAATTAACCGACAAGACAGGCATTGCATCGCAAAGGAGAGTAAGCATTCTCTAAACAACCAGAAGTTAAGATAACAAAGACAAACAAGAGCTTAAACATGTGACAAGGTTAGTAATGTTGTCTACTTTTTCTGGTTTTTCCCAACATGCTAAAAGTGTTAAATTCAGCTGTGATATGGGAGAATGTGGTTAAATGTACAGCAGAATGGTACATGATTTTACGTTCCACATAATAACTTGAAATTTGAATAAAAACATAACTTTTATAAATATATTTTATATAAATTAAAACATATACAGTAGACCCTCTTAGATACAACTGATCTATCTGCCATGACAAAAAAAAAGTCACATATGACATGAAGTCATTATTCAAAGGATCAATAACCAGATAATGAATGACTGAGTTCAAGCTGTGCCAGTTGCTATTCCTAGGGGTTGAGCAAAATGATTTATGTACTGTATAGGTAGTCAGAAAACCTAACAAATTGGTACACTGTATAATAATAGTTATGATGGATAACAGCTCAATAAAGATAACTTAAAATTGTTTTTGTTTTATGTAAAATAATTTATTCATCAATCACATTTATTTCATAAACATCTACATATCACATTTTGTTTCATACATATAAAATATTACAAACTGACACAAATTTATTTCATAAAAAATCGTCCATCTTTGTTTGTTTTGCACAATTAATGAAGTCACTTTGAATGTTCACGAGTCTGGCAGTTATTATATCAAGAAGCGTTTCATTGTTAGTTTTCAGTGCACAATTTTAGTATCAATTTATAAAATAATGTGCAATAAATGTCCAGAATTCTACATCAGAGAAACTGGAAGAAAATTGGAAATCAGATTCACCAAAAATAATAAAAAACATCCCATACTTGTTTTTATCACCATTGCAACTAAAAAAATCCACATTATATCTGCACAAAACGCTGTAATCTTAAACAAAGAACTAAACATCAGAAGCTACATATCTTAACTGAACAAAACAGCCCCACCCTAAACCAAAATTTCACCTTGAAACTTGGATCCTTTGATCCCAACTCTGAAAAGGGACCATTCTGCAAATTTAAAAGAACCAGTAAAAATATCTGAACTAAATTATTGCTAGACTCTAGCCAATACCTAATAAGGTAAATCCTCTCTGAATACAAATACTACATAAAATGTAATATGTTGCATTAAAACAATTTCAAGTTGACTAAAAATTCTCTAATTTCCATGTTTTGTTTATTTTATTGCTTTCATCACATCTTTGGTCTATATCAATGTCCATGTCATGTTTCTATATCAACACTTCGAGCCTTCTTCACAGCAACTTCCTGTTCTCAGCTTTCCCAGATGCCTTGAGGCATTTCATTAGCCATGCTTACCACAAAGATTAGTTGAGTCTGTCATTCAACAACCTGCGAGTTAATAATCTTCACACCGCACTAGTAAATACTAATCAAGTTATTTAATGTATAGGCCACTAGTTCAAAAATCTACTACATTCACTAAAAGAATAAACCTTAATTCCATATATATATATATCTTTGTGAAAGGATCCCTACCAGTAACCACAGAATGATGCATTTACAACCACCAGATTTATGAAAGAAAGAAAGCAACACCAAAATGGACAATCCTTCTAATCAATCTGAAGAAGTCCAAAAGGCAATATCCCAGGTCTAGATTGATGGGATCATATGCCATACTCCACCAAAGTCCAGAACTCATCCAGTCTGGATTTACAAATAGTTGTCTTTACTCCCCCACCAAATGGGCAAGGAGAATTCTGCTTACCCATGGAATTAAGGAGAGGATGTGGAACACTGACCCATCAAGAACTAAAGATGGGACCACATTGCATTCAGATTTATGGGGAGATAGTGGACCCCCTGCATGAACAACATAAGACCTGACAGTGTTCATAAGAGGGTTCAAGCACCCCCCACTGGAGAGCTAAGCGTCAAATCTGGACTGGTTTTATGAGTAGACTCCCACATAAGTTGGACCTGCTCTTACCAACATCTGGGAAAATACTTCCAGGGACCCAACTTTGCCCTCTTCTCCGAGAGTGGAGAAAACTCAACACTCCAAAGGTAAATCCGCTGTCCACCACCCCAGCAACTGTGAACTGGGTGAGGTAAAGACTCCCGAGCTCCACTAGTAGAAATAAGGGGGGGAACATAAGCATTGGGGAGTCCTGAGGAACAGGTTTCCAGAGACAGTGCAACAGGTGAACCATGTTCACTAATTTTTAAAAGCAAACTGATCTCAACTGATTCAGCTCTAAGACCAGCAAGGACCGGGAAAATCCTCTTTAGCTTTACTCATGATAGTCCATGTGTAGTGGTCAATTAGAAATATTGTAATATGATATCACCATCCAGAATTGCATCCAAATGGTCTTATGGAACACCTCATCTCAACAGAGCCCATTGCAACCAGGAACCGATACAAAGGTTGCTAGTGTGGAATTTAAATACAAACATACCTGACTGGGCAATACTTGCCACTGAGTGGGATCAAAAAAAAAAATCAATAAGGACCCTAGAAGTGAAAGGAACATAAACTGTTAGTCAGATAACATGTTACTCACTACCCTGTTAAAATCTAGTAGAGGTAGTCAACACAGCCACAGGGGGAAGACAAAGTCCCTTTGAAGAGGAAACTGTCAGATCGTGAAGATAATGAGATATGAAGGTATCAGGAGAAGTCCACATACTGGCCCATAAACTATCGCCCAAGAATAAGGACGGAAACAATTAAGAGAACTACCGGAGTGGAAGAAGGAGGCCTTGAGACATGAAGGGATGAGCCTGCAGAAGTACAAGTGGAAGTAGAATAGGGTCGAGCAGCCTAAGATGATAAAGAAGATTGCAAATGTGCTGTATCAACTTTGGCTTCTAATGATTCTGGCATTCCAGTAAATAAATAAGGTCAAAGAAAAGGCACTTTCCATAAATCTCAAAGGGCAGAAGAAGGTAAATGAATACACTCCAAAAGTGCATCATGACTCAACAAGTCTCAGCAACAGACCAACCACAACACCAAGGCAAGTCTGAAAAAAAGAAATGTGTCATAGTAGTGACCAGTAAATGGCCCAGTTCATAATCAAATTGTTGAGGCAATCGGTGTTATGCTTCAGACAAATATTGAAGGGAAGAGAAGTATCTTAAAACACTAGTAAGAGTCAAACAAATCTGTGAAAATTGCAACTTGTTAAGAGAAATAACAGGTTCGTATATGGCACCCAATATGTCCAACAACGGATCCTTTGAGTGTCCATATATATCATCCTGATAATGATATACCAGAGCATATTGTTCAGATAAATGAGGGGAAGGCATAATGACACCCTCACATAATTGTGTTGCAAACCTCCCTGCATGCACAGCAATATAAGAAAGAGGAGGAAAACTAAGTAATCCCCTTGAGAACAATATGACAATAAAGCAGGGGTGGACTCAAAAGCAACTGGTTGCATCTCCAAAACTTCACAAACACGTAACTAACTGCAGCAGTATTTAGTGTTCATAGCAACATTATTCTAAAACTGAAAACTCACTTGATTCTATAAATACAAAGTAAAATTATATATAAGCTAATCAGATGTATAAAGACATCACTATGCAATCAATCTTTGAAGAATAATTATTACATGCTAAACTGCCCAATGAACAATATAAAGTTCTGTAATACAGAGATATATATTTAAAAATATATGTAACACTCAGAGACAATACAATGAATAAACATAAAACAAAATCAAATAACTTCACACTAGTGACATGGGGAAAATATATATCTGTTTTAACATGAAGTTTAATAGATATTTTACATATTTCTTTGACAGTTTTCTTCATATTTACTTTTAAGTTTCATCTTTACATTATGCATCCTTATCTTTAAAGTATTAAGTTTTGAGTCTTAACTTGTAAGTATACAATTTGGAACTAAACTCTGTATTTTTCTTCCTGGTGGAGAATGTTGATTAATTATGAACAAATTTCATATTACATAAATTATGAAGCTTTCATGTTTTAAGTAGATACCAAGTACAATATGTACAAAAACACACAAATACTGATAAATGAGTTTTCTTTTTATTTTGAATTTGGCTGCTAAAAGGCCCTCATCCGATACACCTATACAATGTAATTTCTATCTTATCAATGTCAGAGATGTTAATACTTAAATGGCAGTTAGTAGCTAGCATCTTCTGTAAACTGAATATGTAAAAATTATATCCAAACCTGAGTTGTCTTCAAGATGTCACTGTAGAGGCCTGATTTCATGAAACCTGTCATGGAGAAAGTGGATAAGAGGGGTGGAATTACTCTTTTGTCAGCAGGATCTTTCTCTTTCAATTCAATCACTTTCGATGTTTCACCCTTCTTGCTTACAGAATCACTTTCACTATCATAACTGGAGTTAACATGTGCCATCAAACTACATTCTTCCTTTTTGTTCAAAGTACAATCTTCAGCTTGTTCTGATTCACTCACATGATCACGCTTTAAATTAATTTTTGTTTGATTTTTTTTATTAACAATGAGTTTGTTGGCTGAGGAAGAGGTGCTACTTGCCAAATCTGGATACTCCTCAGGATTCATAATATCTAATTCTACTGCTGGAGAGGCCATGAGAGGTTTTGAGAGAACTTGGCCTTGAATCTTTGAAAACAGCTCTGTTGTTAGTAGAGACACTTTTCCTGTGGGTAAACCTTTTCCTTTTTTACTCTTATTTTTCTTTTTCTTCTTTTTTTCTGATTTTTCTTGTACTGGATCTTCTGATGACTGGTGTCTACTTGATTCATTACTTTTTTCTGATGACTTTTTATTCTGTAAGGTGAGAATATCCTTATTTTGTGTATATTTCTCATGACTATAATATTTTGAATTTTTCTTTGTAATTCCTTGAACCTTGTTAGTATCAACAGCATCTTGTTGCATATGTCTGGAATTATTTGGTTTGCCATCATTCCTGACATTATCCTTGAGTGGAGTATTTTGTTTCTGGTGCCTGTTGCCATCTTTTTGTTCCTTATTTCTGCCACCAGGCAAATTTCTAAGCTCACATTCTTTGTATCTGTTACTGGTTGTACCTTCTTTCTCTTGAAATTTAGGAAAATCAGTGGTGTGTCTTTTATGAAATTCACTATTTTGGTCTTGACTAGCTTTCTTAATGCTGTTTTTTCTATTTATGAACTCTTTTGTTTTCGATTTAATCACTAAGGTATTTTCACCGTGTCCTGCTTCCTTAACAACTCTGCTGGCAAAGCTGGAGGCATTTTTATGAAAAGAACAGTCTGATTTTATTCCATCATTTTTGTTTGGTTCATGAAGAGGATCTCTGCCTTCACTTTTACATCTAATAAATTTTGCTTCCTTTGTTGGTTTCTGATTTGAGTCTTTGCATTCAGTGCTTTTGGTCCTATTTGTTCTACATTTTTTGCCTCTTGACTCATTTATTTTTTCAAAATTATCTCTATTTTTTTCTAACACATGTTCCATTGAGTTATTTCTTTCATTAAATACTTCTTTTTTCTCTTGAGGTTTAGCCTGAAGAATTGCAGAGTAACTGTTCTTCTCCACTTGTATATTATTTTGAAGAGCTTCTGAACTAGTTACAGGTATTCCTCCATTTTGAATAACTTCTGAAATTAACCTATTCACAGTTTCCTCTAAAGAAGGAAACTCTATTTCTGTATTTTCATTTTCCTTTTCACTGGAAGTAAAAGTTTTTATGTTGCACTGAAAATTCTGTCTCTTGCCTTTCCATTGTTTACTGTGTTTCATTTGTTCACTAACTATTAGATCTCCAAGGGTAAAATCAGATCCAGCTTTCTTTGCTTTTGTTCCCTGTTCTTTATTTTTACCTCTTCTATCTCTTTCCTGAGGACTGGATAATAATGGTAATGGTGCCATCTTGGTATCACAATGGTCACAAACTTCTGGGACTTGCTTTCCTGAATAAATGTGTATACAACTTGTTAACCAACTTTTATATTTTTGTTTCTAGTTAAAGAACCTCAACCAGTAAGAAATTGAAATCATAACTACTTGTACTGCAATACAAATACATGGTCTTATAAAAGCATATATATATAAATATTGCCAGTGCTTATCCAAACACTTATAAATGAAACTTTAACTTGTAATTTTTAATCACTTCTAAACACAAGTAGTGTATATAAATATTAAAACATACTCATATAGGTACATATAACCATACATGTATGAATATACCTAATAAATACAGATGATATACATATATTCAAGATATATAAAGCCAAGAAACAATGTGATACCACGCTTTATTAACAAAATTATATGCAAATAAGAAAGTCTAACAGTAGTATATATAAAAATAATTTATCAACATTAAGTAAGATCTAACTTTAATCTTACAAGGAGATCTGTATGCAATGTATAGTATACGATTAACTTAATCATGACAATTGTCTATAAAAAGTGTTTAGACAAATGTAAAAGTTCATAAAGCTTAAGATGCCTAAACTGAATTAGTGTTTTCAGTCATAAAAGAAATCATGTTTATAAACTCTGTTAAATCATATTTTGTATTTTCATTTCCAGTTAAATGGTCTACTTCAGTAAGAAATTGCATTTAATACCATTAAAATGTATAAGAACTGTAATGACATTAAAAGTTACACATAATGTTAATTCTATCTAGAAGTTTTTAAGCGATGCATTAAGTTTTGGAACATGGCTTCAAAAAGTTTAAAAAATGTTTTAATTTAAAATTTAGTCTTTTCATTTCTAGATAAATTGTCTAAAGCAGTAGAAAAGTTATAATTTTTCAACACTGAAAATGTATTTCCGATAGCTATTTACCTCTACCATAATGGTTTTTCTTTATTTGTTCTGCCCTTTATATGGGCAATTTTTGCTCACCACTAGCCATCAGGCTCTTGCCTATGAGTTCCCATGTGGTATAGCTGCATTGTACCATGCAAAAGAGCATGTCACAACCGTCCACTAATAGGATTGCAACACACCCTCTTAGTAAGTCCAATCAGTAAATGGACATGCCATAGAGTATAGGATGTCAAGAGTATTCAGGTCCCAATGAGGAAGGACTGCAAGACAAGGAGGACAAAGAAGACAAAAAAAGAACAAGAAAAGCATAGAAAAAGACAGGAGAGGATAATAAGAAAACCCAAATTTATTAGTGATGTCTGCCTGTTAACCAGTCATGGTCAAAAGTAATAAGCTTCATTTGAACAGACAATGAAAAAATTTGGAGAGATGGGGGATAAAAGGAAGGGAATGAAAGAAAACATGATGTAGAGACTGACTATGGAATGTGAGTCCATGTTGTGGACAGACAAAGAGGGAGAAGGAATGAACTGAACAAGAAAGAAGAAAGGTTACATCTAAAGAGAGTCTGGAATGTCTTGCAAAGGACCAGATAAACCTGACATGTGAAGTCATCTCGTAAAGAAGGCATCTGGAAACAGAAGGAGAATTGGTCAAGAGTAAGAGGAATACCTCCTATGGGAGTAGTTTTATCAAGTCACCAGGTGAAGTCTTTGAAAGAAAGGAAGGAGAAAGGAGAATGGTTGAGGACAAGGGATCCAAAACAAGGATCCAGAAAATGTATAGTTCAATGTAGACATCACAGATAACCATGATCCAAAGGGATACAAAATTCCAGAGAAGCCCAATTCTCCCCCAAAAGAGTAAAAAACTCTTGCACAGTGAGGGAAGAAGAGGATATGGCATGGGAAAACAATCACTCCTTGTCCCTCAAAAGAAGAGTAGAAGGCTGAGCCCTGCAGAAATATTAGCAAAAATACACACAAATGAACAAGAAATGACATTGGTGTGAGATGTGACTCCTTCAAGTTGAACCAACCAATCCAGATGCACTGCCTCCCAAAGGAAGAGAAGGGGATGGCTGTAGGGGGCTTTTTGGGACAGAGCAAAACAAGAAAAAAGCATCCGAGATATCCACATCGGTAATCCCAAGATCTGGAGAGAAAGATCACTGTAGGGTGAGAAATTCCATGGGAAATGACAGAGAAAAAGAAACCAACTGAGACATGGAAGATGTAAGACTAGACACCTATCTACAGATTCCCTTCCCTGGGAATCATGAAAATACAGGAAGAAAAACCTGGAAAAGGATGAGATACCCAACCAATAGCAATTGTAGCTATTAGGACCAACATTGGCAAAAAACAAGATCACTTGGATGGTGTAAAATAATGGAAACAGAAGACATTGGAGAAGGAGAGGAAAAACATAAAGGTTAAGTCTCTCTGACAGAAATTCCAGTACTTATCAATTGGCCACAAATGGAGGGCAAAGGTCTATAAACCAAATGAAAAAGGCCCTAATGACCCTGAGCGTATAGGAAAGTCACTGCCAAGACTGGCAGTACCAAAGTATACTTGCAGCGGAGGGATGAATGGGAAATGGTGACAGAGAGAGAAGAGGAAGCAGGAGGACATGTAACAGAGAAAGACAAAGAAGGAGAAACAGTAAACTAGTGAGAAGAGAGCAAAATCCTAGGCATGCAGCTCCAAGATATGCCACCAGAGAAACAACCATACCAGTAAAATCATACAAGCAGACAAAATGAGTCAGAAGAAAGCATAAGAGATACAATAGAGGTAAAAGCAATTGATTAACAACGGCATCACACCCTAACCAACTCTAGAAAAAGATCAACCAAATAAGAAGTGAAAATGCTGAGAAGATAATCACGCCACTGTAGGAAAGATAAGTGAATGAGCATCTGACAAAAACCTCACAGGAGAATGGTGGAATACTACAAAAAGAAGGTTAAAGAAGGAAAAACAATGAAAAAGAGCAGTGTGAAGGAAGAAAAATCTGAGCCTAAGAAAACAAACAAAAGACAGAGGATTTGACTCTCAAGTCTGAAGAAAAGACTCCAAAGATTAGGCATCAAAGAAAAGCAATACAGCACAATGTCATGCCTAGTCATATATAAGGAAGGAGAATAAGACATGTAAGCCCCAAAGTAGTGGTAAAAATAGTTGAATATGTAAACTAGAAGGGCACTCAGTAGAGCACATACCTCCACCATGTAGAGTTGATCACATTCAGTCCTCAAAAAATAGGAAAATGTGTGCATATGTCTGTCATTATCAAAGGACACAAATCATTTTTGGAAGGAAAATGTGGAATAATATTCTTCATATATTTTCACTAAGTTTCATCAAAATCCGATCATCTTTGACTGAGTTATAGAGCAACAGTAGTGTGAAAAATCAGTCCCCATGTTAATAGATAGGGAGTTTTTAAGTTTTCGTGACAATGCTGTGACCTTGACTTTTAATCCTCAAAAACTAATCATTTCTAAGTTGAGTCATAGTCCAAATGTATACCAACTTTCGTCCAAATCCAGCTGTTTTGGAGAAATCTTGCTGATAAACACACCCACACAGAGATAGAAACATACCTTAGAAACCTAGTTATGAAATTATGAAAAAAAGATGAGGTAGAATCAAGACAACATAGGTATAAGATGAGGCAAAGATAGGTAGGGAAAAAGCAAAATCACTTCCATCACAAATGAGAAATGTGGGCAAAGGTATATCAGGGACAAAAGAAGGCTCAGTTTGCATGAAAGGCTCTACCACCTGCTGCACAAAAGCTATAATCTCTCACAACAGACAAAGACAAACCCAATGCCAATGTAGTTGGCAGGCTAGCGATAACAAATTCGTCTTGTTTCACACCTGACAAAGTAGAAGTTACTGACACAATGACTTTGTAGTTACTTCCATTGAAAAACGCCTATATCTGAAAAGTTCCCAAGTGATAACAATATACATCATTACACCCGAGTGCCAAATCGAGAGGTGATGATTGTGCTCTACAATACAGAGGTAGGGTGTGTCACACTCCTATTGGTGGAGGGTTGTCGCATGCTCATTTGCATGTTACAATGCAGCTATACTATGTGATCTTAGATGGGAGTCTCAAGGCTAGTAGCAAGCAAAAATTGCACATATATAGAAGGCAGCACAAATCAAGGAAAGCTATTATGTGAGAAGAAGTAAGGTTCATATTGGAAAACATTCAGTTTTACTGCATTACATAGAAATAATCTTAAAAATTTAACATACATTTCTAAATATAAATATCAATCTATACTTCTTGTTTATTCATTTAGAATTTTATGCAAAGCTACATAATGGTTACTTGTATATAGCTTTTTCTAATTTTGAACTGAGAGATTAGAGGGAAGGCAGCTAGCCAACAACAATTGCAATCAACTCTGGGGATACTCTTTTTTGATGGAATTGGAAGATTTGACCATCATTCTTACAGCACATCCATGGTCCCAAAGTGTGCAGTATATATTTTTATGGTCAAGGAATCAAGAGCCATAGATTCTCTTATTTAGAGTCAGGGTACATTAATCACCAGGCCATGCCTAGACAATGTGTTGCATTATTTTACTGTAGATAATTTTTAATAAATAATAAAATTAATGTGTTATATAGAACATGCATCTTTGTTCTGAACCTTATGTTCTCAATTATCATTCTGATTTTGTCTAATTTGTTTTATTATCTTCACACAAAATATTTTAGTCTTCACTGATGATGAAATAAGTGCTGATATGTGTAATTAGAAATATTGTTTCTACCTCATCTTCCTCTTCTTTTTTCCCACATGAATCTATTGCCAATTTACTTTTGTAATGTCGTCTCAAAAGAATAAATAGATTGTAAAACAACAATCCTTTAATCTTAAAAAATTGTACAGTGTAAAATCATGAACATGTTTACCATTTTACTTTGGACCCAGTATCACATGTATGTTTATTCAAACCTTTACTGATGACTGCAACAAAATTTGGAATTACACTTCTTTGTTTACCAACAATCCAGAACATAAAGATGGTTTACAAGATTAAAAAAATATGTCTATCCTGAGTGTTATATTTAAATGTTAGGCCTAATTATTTTTCTTATTGAAGGGCTTAAAATCAGTTATTAAGTATATTTTTATTCAATATTGGTAAAATCATTTTCGTTTAGTTTTTCCATCTCAATGCTAAATTTGCTGAGTATTTTTTACATTGGTGATAAATACATTCACAAAGATGTCACAGATAACATTGTTTTCCAATACTAAACGAACAAACATTTTTCATAAAAAATACAGAAATGTCAAAAGCTGTTTTAAACGTAAAGTTACATCAGTCATTTATGATAACAAGTATTTTTATAGGATAAATTCAAAATACAATTAAATAAACTAATAATGGATGTATTTAAAATAAATAGCCCACAAACCTTGGTTTATTGCATTTCCATTACGTTCATCTATAGAACTGTCTGGTCTTAATGCTGGAGATTTTATTCTATCACCAGGATGTTTAGTTATTCTGGATTTATCAAATACATTAGGTTTAACTTCACCACATCTAGAAGTATTCTAAAAATGAAAAGAAAAACTGTCAAACCTTGCAACAGATTCAGTTCTCAAATTACAAATATGAGATTTATAAGTGTCATATAGAAAAACATTCTGAATCCAAAATTAAATTACATAAAAGCTTGTTTTGTCTATAAATAACAGTTCACTGTATTTAATTATATCAACAGGCATAAGATGTGTGATGTAAACACTGCAATATACATTTATCACTTAAAAGGCAGACTGACTTATTGAGATAGTTATTTATATTGTAATAAATAAAGATTTTGTAACAGTCTGAAAAACCTGAAGATGTAGCTAAAGTTTTATTATAAATCAATGATTTGTAAAGTGATCTAGAGGCAGAAAATGAACTAACGACAATTACCATCCATCAACTAATTATCAACATTTATTTATTGCCTCATGAGTCCAATTGAAGAATATACACTCACATTTTAACACTAAACTTAAGTCATGTAACTTAGAAGACACTGATATAAAAACTGAGCTGTACGAAAAAATTCATTACTGAAATTTCTACTTTGCTTGATCAAAATTCATATTCTATGCAACAAAAAATATTTTGACAATCTAAATTTTAAGAACTGGTATAAAAAGGTAATAATTCTTTTGACTGTTAGAAATATCTCATCTCAACAGATAACACTTAAATTGATACTTCTTACATTCAAAAAAGATAACTTAAATATAAAAGTATTAAGTAATCTTAAATCTGAGCCATGGTTATTAGCCTATACAACTATCTACATCTAATTATTAACTACTACCTTTTTCTTATATATATATACTCATTACTAAATAGTCTTAATCCTGAGTCTTGGCTGATAATATGCTTTCATCTTCAGGGAATTCCTGAGAAGTACTATTTTTGGTAAAATCCAAGTAGTATGTGTATTACTTTGTCACACTAAAATATATCTTACAGGAATATTGACATAAGCAATAACTTATGCATATATATTTCATTGCTAAATATCTCTAAATAAACTCTTTAGAAGTGCAAAAACCTAATTGCATATGAACAACTTGTAAGAAACTTCAAGTATTTATAAAAAATCTCACATAAAATTTCTCTGACAAAGACTTGTCAGCTACAGCTCCTTTTCTACTGCAGTAGTTGTCTGCATGATGACCTGGTGAACTACTTGGATTTGGTAAATTTGAAGCAGAACTATGTTGTGGCAATCCTAATGCCATAGAATGACTCTTGTGCTTTCCTCCAGAAAATCTTTGAGAAAGTATCATTACAGTTATAATTTAAAATAAATCTTATAATTCACTCAATTCTGTATTGGATATTACTATAAAAACACATTTGTAAAATACTGTATCTAATGTACAATCAAGTAACATAAGGTATGACATCAATAGTGATGTACATTCACATGTAAAGTGAGTAAACTTCTCTTAATCTATTTCACCTAACAACTTAAAATAAATACTTTGCAAACACATAAATTTTGATTGAAAATAACATCTCTTTACATAACTATGTTCTTTGTACAGCTTCTTTTGAACTTTTGAAACAAGTAAGAAGAATTTGGAGATTTTAATAACACATGGTTTACTAATTACTAAAAATAACTCAAATCCTAAAAAAACACAGAACTCAAAGTTTAAATACCTTTTGTACTTGTAATTTATTAGCTATGACTGCTAATAGTCTTCCTCTTTCTTGTAACAATGAAATCTTAGTAACAAAATCTCAATAAAAATGATATAGATGAAGTCGCATATTAAAATGTAAAATCAAATGAGGTATTACATGTACATCATCCATAATCCTTTAGTCAACATTACATTCACAGTTTGCAAACAAAATTACTGTACATAGTACTTTCAAGCCCAAGAATATATATGAGAGAAAGCTAAGTCTAACATGTATTTAGTGATTTTAGAAAATACACTAAGCAAGACTTCTATAGAAATCTGATAAAAACATTATCAGTTGTAGACATAAGTACAAATGGTGACAATGAATGAAATAATGACTATGAAATATTCCAAGTTGAAAAACTTCCTCATCAACTGTTTAATACTTAAAACCTCAATAAAAATAAGATACATGATCAATTAAGTTATTATTTTAGTTGACTGAAAATCATAATCGTTTTGTACTTCACTAAACCTAATTTTCCAATGAGGATTAATTTAGGTAATTCTTTAATTTTATATAAGATGACATTACAAATTAAAATGAAGTATGTTTAATAAAGAATAAATACTAATATTATCCAGTAAACGTTGTTTCATATTAACTTCATATCTATTTTTAATTAATAAGTTTTCTATTTTATTACAAACAAATTTTTCATATCTCACCTGCCATTAAATGAAGCTGAGCTAGAAAACCTCAATGAATTATTACTGGCTATTTTTACTTTATTGTGATCTTGCTTTTCATTAATAAAGGTTTTTCTTTCAGCACTAGATGTCACTTTAAGATTTCTTGGAATAAATGGAGCAACATCTGCACTTAAGGTATATTTCTGGAAAAATTAAAACCACAATTATTTTCAAAAGAGTAAGAAACTGTAACTACTCTTGTCAAAGATGAAAATATGTATAAAAACTGACAAAATTAATAACTTATCATTAAGAACAAAAACCCTCAAACAAAATTCATGAATGACTTTTGGAAACACAAGAATACACATACATACCAGTAAATGGATATTTGTAGAATATCAAAGGGAAAAAAAACAATTGAAAAATAACCTTTAAGTTGTTTTTTTTTCCTTTTTTTGGTGTCAGTAATCATAAGTATGAAAAACCTGCATACACTTTCGTTGATGATAATTTCCTAGTATTAAAATATGCATGTACATTAAGTTTAACTTTTGTATAAATGTTTCTTTACTACTTATAACAGTCACTTTATTTTTGGAAATGCTGTAATTTGACAGACTTCAAATACTGTTTAGTTAGTGATTACCACTAGCTGCAATTTTAATGTTTATAAACGCTATGTTCAGTCATCTAATATATATAAAAGCCAGTTGTTCTTTGGTAATGTTCCATTCATTTGTGCCATTTACAACAAAACTATGACCTGATATTGTTGTCTTAAATATGTATATAATACTTCAAACATTCACAAAGGTTGGCTAGAATTCCACCTTTTCAGATTGTTTTACATTTTAGTTTATGGATATAATTAGCTTGATGTAGACATTTCAAAGTTTTTGTGACTTTTAATGAAACACCTTTTTTTTCTTTCTTTCTCCCAAATATATTGCCATTAATCTTAACTAATAATGGTACTTGAAATTAATATTTTGGTTTAATTTCTGTGTTAGAATTTTTATTATAAACCTTAGGCCTCTTGGTTTTGGATACTTCATCTTCTTTTCATGTTTAAATTGCAATTTTTAGGTTATATGAAATAATTAGAAAAATATGTTCCAGTACATGTGAAATATCAATGCATTTGATATTTCAATGCACTCAAGAAAGAGTGTGGCTCCGAGCTTGTTAATTTTTTTGTTGTTTTTTTTACAAAATTTCAACCTGTCATTTTTGGATGGGTCAGGCAAGGCAAAGCTAGTGTGTTAGTAAACCTGACATATATTATGAAGTCCACTACAATGGGTACACAGTATGAAGGAAATACACAAGTTATTAGAATTAATTAAATCATCGAAAAAATATTTAACTTTGAATAAGGCAGTAAAAATAAGTTTAATCTTAATTCTTGGATACATGTTGACAAAAACCTTTTAACATTATTTTTACTTCAAAACACATACCCAAACCACACTACTAGTAACAATGTAAAGGTAACTGCCAGTGTGGTATTCAAGTACATTAGACCCACAGAAAAGCCAAAAGTTCCCAAAAATTCAAGTTCAGAGTTGTTAAGTGAAGAATAAGTTGAATACAGACAAAACAAAGCAAACATGTGTGTAATTTTAAACATAAAAATTTTCTACTTAACAGTGTTATGGCACTTAAACTATACTTTTTCTGTATTGTGTGTATACTAGTATTGAGGGCCACATATAAAGAGATGAAGAGAAAGAGAGACAGAACTATGGAAACACCTAACTTAAACACTTGAGTGAAACACAGGTAACCCATAAGTCCACATATTTAACCAATGTTCTACACACAATCTTTAGCCAAACCAGTTTTATATATTTCGGCATCGCCTGTTTGGAAAGGTTACCTTCAAGAAGTCTAAACATAAACACATACATGCTAGCTTCAAACTCAAGGACAAAGGTAATAGTATATAAAGGTTAGCATATGTTTAAGAAATATGGCCAACATGGATGTGATTACCTACATGCAGAAACTACAAGGAAATCTAAAAAATATTACATGAATATATCTAAATAAAGTATATTTTGAACTAGTTATGGAAAGATGAAATTCATAACTATTTTATTTATTACAATCAGTAAATTTAATTTTTATTTGAGGGTACATTTTGGCAAAAGACCTAAAAAATGTTTGCTTTAAAATACATGCCCAAATTACACTAAAGTACAAGATAACTTCTACTGTAGTATTATGATACACTAGTGCCCAGCAGAAAAGCCAAAAGTTCTGACAAAATGCAGGTTCATATCTTTTAAGCAAAGAATAAATTGAACATGGACAGAAAAGAAAATCAAGCAAATGCAAGTGTAGTTTTAAGCACAATTCTTTTTACCAAACACACTGTTATGTTACCAAAACTGGCTAGGATTCTTCCTTTGTATCATCTACAGTTGAAAGCAAGAGAGCAAAATCACAAGAGGCCAAATTGAAAAGAGAGAGAATTTTGAAAATACATGACTTATATACCTTGTCAAAACAAAGGAAGTCAGGTATTTCACAAGTCCACAGGTTACAGGTTCAACCAATGATCTACAAGCAATCTTAAATCAAGCCAGTAAAGGCTTCTCTAATGCCTGCTTGTAAAGGCATAGGTTACATTCCAAGAAGGCAATACCTACACACTAGCTTGAGACTTAAGGCCAAAAGATGCAGTATGCAGCCTTTACCTTTGCAAAAGGATGAATACTTGTGTTGGACCTTGGGACATCTGGTCAACAAATTTGTGATCAGAAACTAGAAAAAAATTTTATTCTAGTTAAAGAAGGGTGAAATATGAGTCATAACAACCAATAAGTTTAATTTCAATTTGTGTATACACTTCGGCAAGAAACTTTTTAAAAGTTTTATTTTAAGAAACATGCCCATGCCACACTACAAGAAACAATGTACAAGACAACTGCTGCTACTCTCCTACACTATATGACTATTTTAGAGCTAGTGTTATACCAATAACTCCAGAGTGAATTTGAAATAACAAAGGTGAATCTCAACAACTCTTTCATAACATGATTCATGAACAATCCAATCAATCAATAACATGAGTTACAAAACAGGAATCACAGAACTCACATTTTGATTTATTAACAAAGAGGGTTTAACAGCTGGAGAATATTCACTATTACAGTAATGATCTGGCTTGTTTCCATATGAACTTGTTACACTGTGGATCTCTGTGTCTTGTAGTTGTGTGCTAAGTTTACTCTGTGTTGGTACTAATGAAATAGATTGGCTCTTTTGCTTCTTTGAAGTTTCCCTAGAAAAGAAAAAAACATTCTTATTCTTATATCCATTTCTAAAACAAAACATATAACTAGAGCATTCACATCTTAGATGATTAGACTAAGAAAAACAAAAATATTCAAATTGAAAAATTTTTTTTATTATGAAATACGCATGGTACCAATTGTGGAAAACATTTGCAAAATTTGAAATTGTTTTGCTTTAAAGAATTTTATTAAAAAAGTACCACTTATAAACAAAAACTCTTTGTAAAATAACTATTAATAGTTTCTACATGTATACAAACTTTAGAAACATAAAATGGAGGATTATGAATGCCAGATTTTAGAACAGTTGACATTTTTAATTATTTTTTAACGGATGATAGAATGACTGGCTTTGACACAGCACTGTGTTATGATGTTTTTGTTAAGCTGTAAGACAGATTGTGGTTTTATTTTCAGTTTTTTAAATACTAAATAACAATAGCTTACCCAAAATTAATGAGAAATATAGTGTACATTTACTTTAGGACTTTACATCATAAGCTTGTTTTTTATTTTTGAAGAAGTACCTGTTTTATGGGAAGCTATCACATTACATAATCAGCTTTGACTAGAAATAGATACAAAACTGTGAAAATGAAATATGCATCAAGTAAACTTATGAAGATGGATGATGACAAGAGAAATGTTCAGTAAAGACATTTACATATTATACTCAAACAATATGAAGATAAATGTAGACGTGCACAACAGTCACTTGTACTGTATATGATATTCTAAGATAATTCACAATGCTTCAATTAAGCCGTCGCAGAAAACCGTGAGACAAAGTATTTGTTGAAAGAAGATACTTAGAATGACTGATAATACCAATCTTCCAAAAAAAACCACAATATACCTGTTAAGAAGTTGAAGACAAATATATAAGACATACAAAGATTTCATAGTTAGTAATGTTGACTATAGTGGGAACATAATTTAGTAAATCAGTTACATTACATCAGAAGGGAAAATCCAGTCATAAGCTACATTCTAGAACCAAATCATACATGCTCAAGATAACTGAGTCAGTGAAGGAATAACAGACTGGGTGTTAACACATCAAAGGAAGACCAAAGCTAATATTTTCCTTATCTGAAAATGTATTTCAGATAGATATCTCTCTGCAATATAGATATATTACCTCATTTATACTGCCATATAAATTCCTGCTCGTGCCACAAGCCATTGATAAACCTCCCACCCCTATATGTTCAAAGGCTATTACATCAGTCTATGATGCAATCATCATTAAAATATAACCTTCTACCAATAGAAGGGTGACACATCTTCTATGCTAAGTATTCCCTATGAGCACTAGCATTTGAACACAGAATCATTCTTGATGAGGTAAACTAAATGCACTGAAAGTGGGGAGGAAGATTGAGAGGTAGTGCAGAGAATAAGTATCTATTTGAAATACACTTTCAGGAAAGGAAAATGTTAACTTCAGAAATGCTATTCACCTCTCTACACCACAAAAGGTTAAAATCCCACAATGAAGATGGTGGAGAGGCTGGCCCAGAAAAAGAAATTACAAAAATGAGCTCCCTTCTAAAAAACAGTGTTAGAAAGAGAAAGCCCATGACATGTGGGGCAGCACTCAAAAAGAAACTGCACCCATCTTAAGAAGGGAATACTCGTCCAACAACAGAAGTGGTAGAGCAAAAGATATTGTCAAGAGAATCTTTTGCAAGATGCTAATATAGGCAGAATGTCAGATAACTCAACCATCCATAATCTAACATTCATGCTAGATAAGCATAAGTGTGCAGTATGGCTAGAGCTATGTGTGAGGTTGTTTCATATTGGGGAAATACTTACATGTGATACTTATCACAATGGTCAGGTGTAGGGAGTAGCTACTCAGACCTACATCCCATAGTAATCCCAAAACCTATTTGACTTGACCTAACCACAAACTCAGTAAATCAAGATAAAAGACAAAACTGTCAAAAAATTATCGCAAGTAAAAAAAAAAAGGAAACAATGACTGTATAGCAGCAATGCATAGGAAAGAATATTTGAAGCTTGTGACAGGTACAAGAATTTACATGGCAGTACATAAGGTAACAACTCTTTGTGGTGCAAAGACGTGACTAGTATTTCTAAATTATTAACTTCACCCAAAGTGAGTAAAGACAACCCAACAGTGTATTAATAAGCCCTGATTATAGTAACTATGTTACCAAAACTTTTCAACTGAAACAACTAATAAAGACTTCATCTTACATTGTGCTAAAAAACGTTGTCTTTATATTTATACTTTTAATATACATATTATATATATACAACATTTATATCCTTTCATTCACTTTGCATGAATGTACTGTAAATAGCATATCTAACACATTTAGTACAGTGTACTTTCAAAACCTAAATAAAAAGGCCAGAAAGACACACTGAGACAAATAAAGGAGTAATGAATAATTCAGAGTGCCAAGGAATGTTGGTTGATCCAGAATGTAAAGAATAAGAATAATACTATGTTCCTCTAAAATATCTATCAAAAGAGAACTTTCACTATAAACAATTAGGTGTATAAATGAGATCCTCAAGCTTGAGCCATGAGATGACTTTATTTACTGCATGAGAAGCTTACTTGCTGAGTTGACATCCATCTCATAATAAGGCTTTTTCAAAGTAAAAGATATATCAGGTTATATTTAGGATATAACTAGAGGTACATTGTAGTATGGAATATATAAAAGTAACAAAAAAAGTAGGGTTGTTTATTTTCACTTATAAATTTCGAAAAGACTACAAGAATCATGGAAAGAAGTAAAGCCCTGAAAGTGCAGGGTGCATCAAGACTGTGCAAATAGAGGAATGTGAATACAGTGGCAAAGATCCACAAACTATCATTCAAAATTTTCACTAAGAAAACATAAACAGAGGGGTTTTATACTGCTATAAGAAGCACCGTGGTGGAGATAACACCTGAAGATTGCTGACAGAAATATTTGACCTTAGCAACCACAAACTGATGATCACCCACAGAGACATTACAAGAATTACAGAACAGTAAGTTTCATTTAAACATATCCCACTGGTTTACTAATATACCAAGGGTATTCCAACAAATAAAGGAAGTCACAACTCTCAAAGCAGAAATAATGCAAAAAGGAAATATAAATGCCAAAAGAATAATCTCATTTGCCTCAACAAGATGATTACGTGCCTTGGGTAGCCACCAAATAAGAGTGTGAGATTGTGAAGTATAATGTTTTTCCTGTATACTACACATCTATTATATTATACACAAAACAGACCTATACATAAAATAAAAAAACAAACTGCACAAGCATAAGAAAATAGAAATGACCAACACTTTTGCTCAATGTGTACAGGATCAGGCCATTGGACTGAGTCTCTATTGAACAATTAACATTAAGTATAATTCAAAATTTACAATATATATATGAAAACTCAAATTATTTCTCTTTTTTTTTTATCAAACAGTTCTTTATTTACCAAACTTAAGTATGTTGTGGATAGCTTCTAGACCTCACCACTTGAAACAACAAAATAGCATCTATAATCAACTTCATCCAATAACAATTCAAGTATCTGTAGACATCTGGACAGTGATCATCAAGGCAGAGCACTGAATAAAAACTTCAGTGTATTGTGTGGCTCTGACAATGAAGAGGATCTTAAAATAAGATAAAAACTATTAAAAAAGTAAGGATCTTTAGTAAAATCAAAGATAAATGATATAAAGAAGATCCCCAAACTGACAGAAATTAAAGGAGGCATAGAAATGGCTAACAATCATGCTTCATCTAAAATGTAATGAAATTCCTTGACCTGAAGAAAAGAATTATAAGAAATCAAATGTCACTATCTTCCCACACAGTGACAAAAAGTAGCAGGAAGATAAAAATAAGGGCTGCAAAAGGCAAAAAACTTTAGTTGAAAAAAAAAATCAAAACTCTCATATTCAACAACACATGAAATGAGAACCAAAACTAAAAGTGTATGAACAGAACAAACTGATAAAAGAGAAAAGAATATGGATAGTAAGGTTAAAGATAATAATCTGCAACACCAAAGGTTAGAAAAAAGGATATGACAGGCACATTAAATATTATTAAACCATCAGCCCACTGGTGAAAAAAATGCAGGCTACAATAAAGGTGGGAGTAATACAAATACAAAATACCTGCAAGGAAAAAGTCTGTAAAGAGTTATCACGCAAGAAAAATCTTCCATAAAGTTCATGCCAACAATTATCTCAAAAGTGTTGAACAGAACTTTGTAAAGCACCCTTAGCTAAGAGGTCAAAAAGTAATTCAAGTCACATGAAAACCAAATCCAAAAACATTTAATTACCAATATGAGTACCTTCTGCATTAAACTTTAATGTTATTCAATAAAAGAAGTGTACCATTTCATTATTAAAAAGTTTACATTTCCTTATAAAAAGCAAAGGGTATTTGGACAATAAAAGTTGGATATACCCATGCTTGCAATACACATTATTTGGATATTTTGAAAAATAAGGTAGAAGTTATATATTTCATTTATTCTTTGTTAAGTGGAAGTAAGAAAGATATGAAAGTAAAAATGACATTAATATTTAAGAAAAAAAATGTTATGGCTTTACTTTAAGATTGTTTTATTCCATACATTGTAGTACAAAAACATGTTTTATACACATAAAACTTTCTGCAAGTTGATGGCCTTTAAGGAAACATTTAACAATTAATAAAACACATATGTAGTAATTTTTGGAAATTAAAAAACTTACATTTGATAATTGTCACTATAGTCAGAGCTGTAATGAAACTCCAGTTGACCCATTTGTATATGTAGTTTGTTTAAAATAATTATGGTGGTATATTAAGCAACATTCATCAAGAAGCCTATACAGGATTGACCAGAGTGTACTGTTCCAATAAACACAATAAAGACACTAATTCTACTGTATTTAACAAGATACATTTAAAAGGACTTTTATGCCACATATGCACTGATAATAGTGCTAAACACTTTGAACATTTGTAAATTTAGGCTGAATCAATGATCTTGCATACACTACTTAATCAAGAAAAGTTTTGTTGTGTCACTTGCACTTTAATTTTTCTTCATTAGAGGGTTTTTTTTCTATGACCCACTATGTATATTAGGCAAAGAATTAAATTAAATTTGTAATATTACCTATTTATTTACAATGCAGTCTTTTATTAACTACTGTAGACAAATTATAGTACTTTTAGTGGCCAAGTTAGTCCAGTCATGATAAAATTTCTAACTTAACCAGTGATATATGATACATACATACAAATGAATGCATTGCTGTGTAAGTAAGAAGAAAATGTGTGAAAGTGAAAATATTAATTCATTAAAAAAACTGAAAGTAGATCCACTGTCCAAGATACTCATACAGCACAACTAAGTCCTTCAAATGTAAATGCAAGAACATGCTATTCTTTTTTGATTTGTATATAAATATATATATAATTCTACAATGTCTCACCTTCTTTTCAATGAATCCAAGGAACTGTAACTTGCTGACTGTAATTGATGACAATCATATTCCATACTATTACATACTTTGTTGTCAACACCTGATGCTACCTTAAAGTTTCTTGGAATAAAAGGTTCAACATCTGGGCTTAAAGTAGAATTCTGAAAAATAATACTCATTTTTACTTAATAATAAAGAGCTAATTGTTAAATAAAGTCACAAACAAAGTATGCATAGTCAATAAGCAGTACATTTTTATCTCAATTTTAAAAAACTTAAAATCTCTTGATTTTGTATTTTTATCTTAAGACCATTACTTTACTCACATCAGATTTCTGTTTTATATAATAGTAAAAGTATTCAAGAAAAAAAGTTCTACCATAAATTTGCAGTGAATAAAACTTTTATAACTGAATACTAACATTTAGAAATTTACTTTTTCATTTCTAATAACATGGGCAAAACATAGAAATTCAACTGATGCAAACTTCTAGTATCCATAAACTTGTCTGTAAGTGTTTGTGGGTTAAATTCCCATATCTCATCAAAATTCACTGAAAAGATCAAGTTAAAAGTTTAACTATACAAAATGTTGCAGTCAGAAAATGAGTCTACCATACAAAGGCTGGTCTCACTAAAACACCTCTTTCATGTTCTCAAGATGATGATTTATGGTACTTGTTAATGATACCAAATGACTCAACACATGTCTGAATTTACTTAAGTGACTCCTCCATTTTATCATATACTTAGTACATTGGATAAATATAAAGTTGATAGAAAAGTGAAAGGTCTATAGAAAGCAGAGTGATAATTGTGATTTTTTCTATGAAGAATGTCACTAGAAGAGGACCTCTGCTTGAAGACCTTTATAAAGACTACATTATTTTTTTAAAATTCCAACCTAAGCTGTGGTCTTAAAGAGACTTAGCATGATTCAGCATAGTTTATTTATATTTTGCTTGCTAGAGAAAAAGTCAAAGCTTACATCGACCAAAATTTATTATCTAAAAATAGTAGCTTGAGATAATAAATTGTGGAAGTAAAAACAAAAACAAAGTTCAAATGGTTCTTGATAGGGAAAAGGAAAATAATGATGGTTTTAACAGTAAAGTTAGGTCTAAATAAATTACTTTTAGACAAGTGCAGGTAATATTAAATAGTTTTGAAACTCTGACTGTTACTAAGAGAGAGAAAAATTGAAAATAATGGAGTTAACATTTTCCAACAATGAAAATTTATTTCTGATGAATACTCACCAGAGACTCAATGAAGAAGAAGAAACCACCACATGATGTAGATAGTGTGCAACAAAGGTGTGAGGGGGTATCCACATGCCAGCCCGAGCAAAGTCTTTGAACAGGCAATGGAAGTTAGCAGCTAAAGAGTGAGCAAGTTGATGAAAGAACACCTGGAAGCACTGACGTGCATCCCCATCCAAGAAGGAATGTGCTAAAAAAATGAGCTGTCTGGGCCATCCAGTGAGGGTAATGGGAGAAAGATCATGAGTGTATGAAGGATTTCATGAAATGAAGAGATGGGATCTGGAACCATGAAATGAAGAAATATAGGCCAAATAACAAAAGACTGCATGGATAGGACAGAGGAAGAAATCTGGATCTGTATGGAAATAAAGATGAGAAATGGAAAGAAGATATAAATGGACTGTCATTCTAATGCGTCACAGACTTTTTAGGGAGAAAACCATGATGGGAGCAACAGAACAGAATGCAGGGAGAATTGATGGCACACACATCAAAACATTTGCAAGACCCCAGGCAAAAAAGGAGGATGAAGAAAGTTTTAAGGGAACAGGAAGCCAAAGGTTCAAATGACAGAAGGGTAAGGGCATGTAAAACAACAATAAGGGCCTAGTCAGGAAGACTAGAAAGATAGGAATGGTGAAGGAATGAAAAGATATAGTAAGGACCAGGTAGGAAAAACCTGGCAGAAATAGGAAAACCAGAAAGTACCAGAGAGAGCTGCCTGGAAACCAGCAATAGTCAAGACAGATAAGATCTAGTTGAAAAGCCATGTGGAGAACTTCTGGAGACAGGAAACAGAAGGACGAGAAGGGGAAAGGGAATAATGAAGTGACCAATGGCAAAAACCCTTCTATTTCCACTAGGGAGGATGATGCAAACAGAATTAGCAAGGAAGAAGGCTACACATGAAGAAAGTCCAGATAACTGTGCAAGGGACCAGAAAAATCCCATAAGTGAAGCAGGAGTGAAAATATGACTGGATGGAAGAGAGAAGTACAATACAGAAGAACAGACGAGGAGAGGAGGATGTCAAAAGGTTCAACAGAAGAAACCAAGATTGAGCTGGCAAAGGTGCCACCAGAAGGGCCTGACAAAGGGTGTACCAAATGAGGGAGAGAATACAAGAGAGGAGATGAACAGGGGTAAACATGCAGGAAGAGGTTAGACCAGTCCTGACTGAATGCATTCATCACTAGTAAAAATGGGTGCAGAACAGGAGACCACAATGCCACTGAATGGTGAACTGGGTAAATTTCACGCTGCAAAAGCAATTCTAAAACTGCTTCTGTCAGATGCTGGTAGGTCACGGGATCTCGAAGAGGAGGGACGAAAATGGAGCAAGAAGAAACGGAGGATGGGGAAAGAAACTGGATAATGAATCCCGATAGAACCTGTATTACCCATTGATCATCTATGAGGGGATGCCAGCGAGGAAGGAACTCTAATATCCGAGCTCCCACTGGATCTGAACCTTCGGGATAGTCACCGGTACTGTTGGAGATGGGAGATGTGTTGTCGAGGGAATCGACAAGAAGAAGTACCCAATTAGAAGGAATGGGTAAGGGTTGGGAGGATGAGGGACAGGACTTAGAGCATAACAAGTTGAATAATAGTTTTAATAGCAAGTCTGTTTGATTTAAAGATAAACGAAGCAGATTAAAGAAAACATACAAGTTGGTATTGTTCTAATGCTGGGAGTATGAGTTGAGGGTTTATGTTGAAATGGAAGACTGTGATATAACTAGAAGTAGTGGAACATGATTACATTTAGAGAACAGTGATAATAGGAATTATCTTGAAATTCCAGTTTGACAGTGATTCTTTATACAAAGGATGAGATACAGCTTGTTGTGACATTAAATATGTGTTTTAGAATCAGAAGGTTTAAGGGTATTAAGATTTTAATTGGCAATTGTTATTGGCCAGTTGATCAAATAGATGATGAAACTGAGAAAAGGTCTGTTACTAAATTAAAATAGGATACCGCAATAATTGTAGGATACTTTAATTTTATAAACATTGATTGAAACTTTATGGAGTCAAGTACTGAGGAAGAAAGTATTTTGAAATGATTCAAGAGGGTTTTATATCAATGACCATGGAATCAACTAGAGAGGATTCTATTTTAAATGTAATGTTAATTAATAATTATTAATAAGGAATGTGGTTACAAGAGCTGAAGTAGAGGGAACCTTTGGAGAAGAGTGATCATTGCATAATTAGGTTTGATGTTTTGTTACATGTTGGGTAAAATAAACATGAAATTTTAAGTTTTTAATTTTCAGAAAGCCAATCTTGATATCACAACACAAGATTTATCACTAGTGGATTATGATAATGAGTTAACATTGGTGTGGAACAGATTTGGGAATTTCTTAAAATACATTGCTTTAATACAATTATGTTAAATGTAAGAAAAATTTTTAAATAAAGATTGTGTCCCTTGAGGATGATAATGGAAGCAAGGTTTGAACACCATTAATAACAACCTTTTACTTTCTCCCATCCAATCATCCTTTTTGTGTGATAATCTAAGTACACTGAGCATGGTCTAGTGGTTAGCATGAGAGATTGTGCATCAGCAGGTTTATCTTTGGTATTTCTTTACTGCAGAAACAAAATCTCTCAAAACTTTGGGTGTGTAATAAAGATGGCAGTCAAATCTTAATATTATGTGACACAAAAGTATTCAAACAGGTCTGGAGTCTATGTACACTACAAGTCTAAGTACACTAAGACCACATCCTTTCCCTTATCCAAATAATAAGTAATATCCTCAAAAAAGTTACCATATTAGTAAGGCAAGATATTCATGTATCAAAGAAAGTAATTATAAACTACAGAAGAACATTGATTATTTGGCAGTTTTTTGTTAGAGTTAATAACTAGTGGAATAATTTGTACTTAGATATATATATATATATATGTGTGTGTGTGTGAAATTAAAATATTATGAATATGATGTTTTTCGAGTTCTTGATTTTACAAGTGAGAGGTAATTTTGATAGGCCTAATATAATGGTCTTTGGTAATGTAGCTTGTATTTATATTTTCATGAAATATGGAATGTAAGCTTAGTTAAGTATATCACTTCTTAAAAAAGCATCAAACCATGGTGCAGTGTTGGGTGGTCTTTGCAAACAAGTGGATGAGGAGTGTCCCAATTTTCTGAACATCACTGTCAAAGAAAAAAGTATTCTAATTTAAGCCAGCCAACTTCAACAAACATGTAGTTGTACTGTACTGTGAATCTGTAGTTTCATCTCTTTGTAAGATCAAATGAATGATAATGATATATATGTATATACTTGTATGTGTCCTTCATTTAGAATTATTAAATACTGGTGTTAACGTTAGTCTATTGTAATAATACTAGAAAGTGGTAGTAAATCTAATACTATTAATACTAGTAAGTAGTGTTAGCTACTATAGTAGTGAGTACGTAGCTCTAATACTACTACTACTACTACTAAAGCAGAGCCACCAAGTACATACTATATAATACTAATAATATTAATGGTGATATTACTTAATAGTATTGATAATAATAATACGCATACGTAATTACTCCAGGGTTTATAAGGTGAGACGATTCCTGACAAGTAGGATCTTAATCTAGCATATATTAATACAGGTAGAATGCTGTAGTAATAATATTGTGTATATAGATACTCCTACCAAATTAATTTTCTGTTCCAAAAGTTCTCCATCGCAAAACAAGGACTGTTTTTCATTAGTTGAAGTCATCCTTCATCGGGTAAAACGTTGCCTTGAATCGATTATACGTAAATTACTTAAATTAAATAATCTCATAGAAGTTGTAGAACTTTGTACACATAAAAATGAACTTTTGCTTCGAAGGTCAAACTTTCAGTAACATGCCTCACTTCTATTAACCAGAAGCTGCCATGTTTACCTTGCAAGTGGTGACCTCTTCCGGTATTACAATAAGAAAATAGCTTACCCTTAATTTCATCTTATATCTTCTGTAAATATTATTATTGAGATTGTTTTGCAGAGTTTAAATACAACAACAATACTTTCATTTGTTTGTTGAACTTATTTCATTCTAAGGAAGAACAATAAACCATCTGGCTCAACTAGGCTATTACTTTTACTACTATCACCTTACTCCAAACTATATATAATATAACAAACACACTTGCCCTTAAGAAATATAAAAACCTTAAATCAATCCTATAATTTTTCAGTTAATTTTCGATTCCCTTTTAAACTCTATTAAAAGTTTTATCCTCCATTACTGGAGATAAAGGCCGTACCGATGTTCGCTTTGTTAGTTAATCGGGCACTCTGCAACCCCTTCTAGTTGGCGCTCTGTGCGCATGCAATAGCCCAACTGGAGACAGTAACTCGTTTCATAAGCCAATTACCCTGTTATAAATATAAAACTGTTTTAACTGAAAGTTAGCATATCTTTTTCCAAACCTTAAACTCATGTTATATTCTCTTCAAAATATAGCAAAATGATAATAATAAGAGGCATTTATCTTACTCACGGGCTTACAAACAACGCTAAAATCTGGGGTTCGATCCCCCACGGTAGACACAGCAGATAACCTAATGTGGCTTTGCTCTAAATAACAAACAAACAAACAAACTTATCGGAAGTTAATATTGTTGTAGGCTGTATTTAATTTATTATAGATATTTTGTATTGTTCGCTAGAGAGTTTTAGCTTGACGTAATAATAATATGTGATGTCTAGAAACATCTTGAGTGTCTAGATTTGATGTAATGTATCGAATTTTCAAGAGAGTTGTGTGTATGTATGTGTGAGGAGATTGTATTGAAAACAGAAGAATGAGTTAGTTGTTTAATTAGCGAGTCACCCAGTCAGTCAGTGAATTAATTAGTTAGTAAGCCAGTTTAATGGTGTAAATTTGAAATTTGTATCTCAACAAAATAGACAGTTTGCAAGTCACTAAATGACTGTTTAGTTTTATTTGCGAGTGTGGCCTATCAACGGACATACCCCGTAGAATGTGTACATTACAATTTAAAAAATGAGCTGTTTTTGTTATCATCAAGTGGACTGTACTTTGAGTAATTTTTACTGAATAGTCATAAAGAGCCTGCCTACCAATAGAAACTGCTACAACAATTGAATCAGAAGTGGGATTATTTTGGTAAGCATAAATCAGTGTTGTAAGCTATATATTTTTTAATTTGCTTCTTATCTAGAGAGAACTGTGGGTCAATGATGATAACATTATGCTCAGAAAGTTAAGAATGGCCTAGAACTTCTAGAAAACTCTAAGGATGTGATGCAAAGTCTTGTTATAAGGATATGGTGTAAAGTTCTAATATATTCGAAGGTGAATTGTGTAATATAGTTCTGTGATGTGCTAGTTTTAGTTGAATTGAAATTAGATATAAAATGAGTTGTTTCAAGATGAATTTGTGTCAGCTATCATGCTTCTTTGTACAAGTAAGTTGATTTTTAGGTTGTGTAGAACAGTTAGGGTGACTGAAAATGTAGGCCTATAAGTTACTATAGTGCTTGAGCTTTTAATAACATTAAAAGAAGAAATAGATAAAATTGGTTTTGTTTAAACAGAATGAACATTTTAATTATTTCAACCAGATAATTCAATTTTAGGAGTTTATGTAAAGTCTTGTTCTAAGGATATGACATGAAGTTATTTAATAACATTCTGTGAGGCGTTAGTTAGAGCTGAGTTGAAGTTAAATAGATAGTTAGTTGTTTCAATAGTAAGTCTGTGTCAGCTATCGTGCTACTTTCTACAAGTAAGTTGATTTTTACATTGGGTAGTACAGTTAGAGTGGTTGAAAACGTAGGCTTACAAGTTAGAACAATGACCAAAAATGGGGAGGTTTTTCAGCTGATCAAAGAGAGAGGTTACATGACTGCTCATGGGAGATATCTTATATAACAGACCTCATGATTTAGGCCAAACAAGTAATATATCTAATAAGGTCGATACAGGATATGTAGCCTCAATACATCAGTTAGCCAGATGACTCAAATTTGCAAAACAGGCTGAGATTCTCAAAGAGATAGAAGCCAGGAAAGAACACGAGTAATAAAGCTGAATATTATTCCATGGATATCATCTATTGTACTTCTTCTGAAGAAGGATGGATTCACAAAGTTCTGCATAAACGTCTGGCAGATGAATAATGTTACAGAGAAGGATGTTTATCCACTTTCAAGAATTGACTACTTTGAATGCTTAATCTTTAAAATGACTTCCAGCATTGGATCTGAAGAGTGGATAATTAGCAAGAGCAAGTCGATGATGTAATTAAAGAAAATACAACCTTTACTGCAGGAAATGAGCTGTGACAATTTTCTGTGTGATAATATGGATTATGAAATATATCTGCTACATTTTAACAAATAATGGAGGGTGTGTGGACAACTTTGAAATACATTTTTCATTTAATTGGATGGTAGAATCACACATGAAAATTCCAGAGATGGTGCTTGTGATGGACTAAGAATGTACTTGATCAGAATCTCAGAAAATATGAATTGTTTTGTCAACAGATAAGTTTTCTAGGGTAGATAGTCACTGGAGTATTTGTTTAGAACTGACCAACACGACAAAACTTATATGAGATAAGATAATTCCTTAGACAGTGCTCTTACTACCATCATTTGTCAAATAGTTCTCTGATATAGCTTTTTCCTACAAATTCCTTGAAAAAACAAATACATTTTGTTGGACTGCTAATTATCAACAGGCATTCAACAAACGGAAGAAATATTTAACCAATACTCTTATATTAATATACCCAAGTCTTGAAATTCCACTTCTATTAGATACAGATGACAGTGATTTTTCAGTGAGAACAATGTTATCACAAGTACAACAGACGAAAACAGTGTGATGATCTATCATAGCAAGGCAATGAATATTGCAGAAAGGGGGTATTATACAACTAAAAAAAGATGCTATGTGTTGTTTGAGCTTTAAGTCATTCCCATAATTACCTATATGGAGAAAGGTTGATATTCCATTGATCATGCAGCAATGAAGTGGCAGGTGATTTATCATAATCCAGAAGGGCAGATAGAAAAATGGCTCCAAAAACCTCAGGAGTTCAATCTTAATATTCTGTAATGCCCTGGAGGAAGTGTTGTTAAATTATCCTGAAGACCTTATATTAATGCAAAATGTAAACACTGTGAAAAGAAGAAACATAAGATAGTAAAGACAACCAATCTACATTACAACAAAGTAAAGTCCAGGATGGGATATCCACAAGTAATTATGAAGAACTAATATGGCCCAACACTCAAATGAAAAGTACTAAAGCAAAAGATACGAATTTGAAACCGATTATTCAGCCAATCGCAAAAGTTCAGAATGAATTTTGTAACAAACATTCATTCCTATATAGCTCAAAGACAAGGATGCACTGGGTACAGTGAAATTAGTTATGCCTACAAGAAGGCTTGTTATATCGGAAATGGGAAGATACTAGAAGACAGAAATTTTAACTGCAGCTGTTTTATCCACAGTCACTACAGCCAGAAGCATTTTATAACCTCCACAATCTTCCAACAGTTGGACATTTAGGTGTTAGAAAAACACTGGAGAAAATAATTTAATTCTTATTTTGGGTTGTATGCTGGAAATGTGAGGGAATTGATGTAACTTGTGTGAACTGTGAAAAATGTCCACCAAAGAAATACAAGGGAAATTGAATATTGTGTAGGAGAGATAGTTGCTGTCTATGTGTAATCATGGGAACAAATATATCATGTTGGTGATGGACTATGTCACCAAATGTTCCTAATTGCAAAACAGAAACTTTGCAATAAAATTTATCAATAAATTCATTTCAAGATTTGAGGTTTCTATGAAACTTTATACAGTTTAGAGAAAGATATTTGAAGCAGCCTTATTTGAAATGAAAAAGAGCAGCATGCCTTGTGACTGTGAGGACACAAAGTAGCTACAGCTTATTTTATATGTCAATAACCAAAAGCCTCAACTTCTAATTGCAAGAACAATCTTTGTTCATTCATTAACCACTGTACATGTGCTCCCCTTCATGTCCAGGCCACTATAAAACTTTTTCCAAGTACTTCTTCCCAGTAGCGGATCTAGGATGAGTCGTCTGGATGAGCACCATATAATTTTAGCATACATCATTTATATGATGCAGCCAGACGAAACATCAAACTTAAATATGATATTATAAATTATTGGCCTGTAGCTAGGAGAGGCAAGAAATAAAATATTTTACTTAAATTATTTATTGTCAAAAGAGGCACATTTTAGAGCAAAAGGGCACAAAATTATGAAAAAAGGTAGCCCCTCCGGAATTCCCTAGTGTCTCTTCTACCTCTACCAGTGACTCAGTGGCAAGTCTGAGAGCTTTTGACATTAAAACTCTGGTTTCGATACTCATGGTAGGTGCAGCACAAATAACCCATGGTTTAGCTTTGTGCTTAATAATAAAAGAAACAAACTCCCTTTTTATTTCGCAGTGATGTGTAAAATTTGTTTGGTTTGTTTTGAATTTCGCGCAAAGCTACTCGAGGGCTATCTGCACTAGCCATCCTTAATTTAGCAGTGAAGGACTAAAAGGAAAGCAGCTAGTCATAACCACTCACTGCCAACTCTTGGGCTACTGTTTTACCAACAAATAGTGGGATTAACCATCACATTATAACTCCCCCATGGCTGAAAGGGAGAGCATGTTTTGTGGGACGGGGATTCGAACAAGCGACTTTCAGATTGCGAGTCAAGCGCCCTAACCACCTGGCCATGCCAAGCCAGGTGTAAAAAAGGCTATAGACTTCCTGGCAAGAATATCACTGAATTATACATAAGACACAAATATGAAGCTCAAATTGACTTTAAGATAATACTTTATAGTCTGCATTATATAACAAATTTAAGTTACGTTTTGCCATACCTCCTGAACCAA